GCAATATGGTCTATCTGTTATATAAATGTGCAAAGGAATTGCCGACACGTACACAGTGGTTGTAATGCTCTGGGAGAAAGTTTGAATTTGTCTATAAAAAATATTTCGTAATAATGTCCAGTAATTTCGGATTCCAGACGGAAGTTTTGACGTTTTGATTGTCTACGCTTAAAACAACATTAACCACAAAACCTCGCCTCGACGCGTTTCTAACTACTGGACTACCGAAGTTTTCATTGCGTAACTGTATTTTTATGGTTAGTCGTTTGTGAGAGATCGTTCCTCGTCGAGGCTGTGCAGTAATAAACCGACAGATTTCACTCATAAAACCCCTCGTGTAACAAACACGTATCACCGTCTAAACTGTAACTGTGTAAACGAAACTGCGGAACTTGTATCATTCAAAGGTGGTTCGATGTGTAAATAATCGACTTGTTCCTTTCTGATTCCAATGCTAAAACTAGTTATTGAGTTGAAAATCGAACGATTATCATTCGACTCATAAATAAATGTCATGTCAGATAATATTTTATTGTTGTATTGAAGTGACTCAAAATATATCTAGATGGCCATGGGGCAGCTGATAGGGTAGGTAAGCCAACGTTTAATGGAGTCCAGTATTATCATAATTTTAGTACTGTACATGCATTAATTGTAGCCGGCTCGCGGCTTGTTCATCGGGTAAGGAGTGTGACTTCTGTCCTATTAGTTCTGGTTCGATCCTGCCGAATCGACAGTGGCAATTTGCTGTTTGGTAACACGGCAGTCTGTTGGTTCGATCGTTGTCCACATTTTATACAAAACACATATATCTTGGGTTAGGACAGCTAAATGTGTTTTGTAGATCTCCCAACAAAAATCCATTGGTTTTTACCTTCACCTTTTTAGTAATTATTTGCTCGAAGCCAAATTATATCCTAACCACAACCATCAGAATCTCTGTGAGTACTTCCCGAAAATCCACTCAGGTGTAATGTTTTCCTAAACTGCTTTCTATCCTGTCTGAACAGTAAGCAAATTAAAACTCTCCCTAACGAGTTTAGTCACCAGAGTTCAAACACCTCCATAACGTAACTCCAAAACACACCTGTTTAGAGAGTGGACGGAGTTGTCTCGTGAGAGTATGAAACCTGTAACATGTAACCGGACCTGACCGTCCTGACCGTCCTGGCCGTCCCAGCCACTTTCAGTGTCGTCGCACGAAAGTCGCACAAATCACAAGGCAACTGGTTTTTAGATCCCCCTAATAAGGGGGGGGGCGGTGGGGGGGGGGTAAAACTGGGCATCTAATGGTATTGGTAAACGGGCACTTCGTGCACTCACGTCATCAGATGTATTCTTAGCGACGTTAGCGACAGTTCGAGGGCTAGAAAGAAGAACATTTTAGTTCCAAAAGAGAGTAATCTTTTTTATCTAATTGTCACAATTTGTGTGGATATCTTTCGTTAATTACATGTAAAACGTTTGTGTGATTGTACAAAATGTTCTTTATATGCTGGAGAAATTCAAAGTGTGTAAAAAATAGGCTTATTACTTCTTTGGATATACAGCTAGTACCTTCTCTTAGATTCTCAATATTAGGTGCAATATGTACTGAAACCTCTGTTACAAAATGAGCTGAATTTCTTATTTTCTTTAACATATTGGGGTACCATAGAATGATTAACTGTTAGTTAGTACATGGTGGTACTAACTAACAGAGAAGTTGAGTCCGCTTAACCTTTGTAGATTTGCCTATTTCCAAAATAGTCTGTGGGATAATTCATTTATGACATTCTTTCTATTAAGTGTGTAATAACTATAGACATATGGATGCAAAGTAACTCAAGTATGTTAGTCAAATTCAGAATCGTTCTAAGCAGATGTCGTGACCTATGTTTTACCCTATACATTTCTTCAGTAATTTATGTCATACCTGTCCTGATAATCTTCAACTCATTGGAACGCCAACAAGCCACTATGTTATCACATCTGATAATTCAAACATTCGTGATAAGCCAATACACTACCAAGGCTATCAAATAAGAACGCAATTGCGTCGCTCACGCTTCGCGAAAGTCCACATGTTTGCAAGTTTGGCAGGCAAACCAGTGGTTTGTCGAATAACTGTTATGACATCCTTGGATTGCGTTATGACATCTAAAATTACCTGGCTGAAGATGGTAGGTCTGTCGTACTAGGGGTAAATTATCTGCGCAACCGGCGATTAAGTGTTGTGTTGTGGAAAGTATGTGCAATAAGTTTACGCTCGGAGATTCATATGTATACTGTTCTTCGTTGTGTTTTTCACTATTCAACTTTTTTTTAACTAGCACTGGACTAGTACAGTCAAAGTACATTGAATCTTAAATAAAAATAATCTTCATTGGATATCATTTTCCAACTCTCAGGAATCGGAACCATTGAGTAATGATGCCTATAAGTGGTAGAAGGCTACGATTCCGGTTGGCTATTAGCCGCCGTTTCCTCCAGGTTCTTTGACCCTTCAACTTCCCACGGCAGGTGTTTTGATAGTGTTGTTGTACCCAGTTGTACCTCTTACAGTTAACATTCATTCTCACTTTCAAGTGAACTCAACGGAACGAAAATAAAGTATTTTGTAAAACCTGGTATTCTGCTACAACTTTACGTCCCACTCTATGAAACGACACTATAATCAAGATTGCTTGGAATGTTGTTGTCTAGTCATAACAAAACCTAAAGTGTATTAAAGTTAATATTTTCCAATCTAATGTTGTATTCTAAACACGATTAATCGTCTTTGAAAGATTTTAATTTGTAGATTTCGGTTGAAGTATGTAAATGCATTCTTGTCCTGTATAATAATTAATTCAAATTATGTATTAAATGTTCGTATGAAACCCACATACAGATGCAAACCTTACGATTATACGTAGCCAAATAAAAGGTTTCGTGTTGTCTTGATTAGTCGTTTGGGCTATGAATTAATGATGGCATCTAACAAAAAGCTCGACGTTAGATAGCAACAAGATCAGGGTTTGGACCGGTCCCTTTCAAAACACACAGACACAAAAACGCAAACAATCCATCCTGCCATAGTAACACTTATCGTAAGATTTCCCTTGAAGACTTTTCATTCCAAACCAAGATTGTATTTAAAAACGCAATGATTCAGTGTATAACTGCATTATAATAGTCTTTAAACGGTTCAAAACCAAAGAGGCATCAATTTACAGCCTTATCGAACGTTGTTAGTTAGCCTACACAGTTTCACTAAGTAAAAGCGATTCCGGTGGTTAGGAGCTAAACGACTGATCAAATAGTGTCAACCCAGTTACTCGACGTTTCCCCAATGTTCACTTCTCTTGGCTCCAGCTGTTCTGACCAAGAGAACCATCAGCTTATTTGACCAAGCGCGCGGGAACACCTGAGTAAAATGGCGGGAAACTGCCGGAAGTCCCAGGATTAGGAGCTGAATTGATTTGCCTCGCTCAAAGATGACGGTTGGAATACAAAAAGTGATGGAATGAACGGACCGTTCGTTTGTATGGAGAATGAGATCGCCTTTCATAGCTTGAAGTAGAAGAGGGGAAGACGACAAATTGTTATGCATTCTTCTGAGGATGTTGAGATTGTTTTTGGCTCTCAAAACAGATCGGAAATGTCAACGCTTCAATAGGCCCTTGGCCAAGTGAGTAGCTAAATGGGAAATTGGGCTTAGCAATGGAGGTGAAAAAATAACAAGTTTGAATGACAGAAAGGACGAACCATTATGATTCGTAGTGTGTAGTAATTCTCAAAGGTTGCTCTTGGGGACTTATGGAGGCGTAGGCCTACTATTTGCGTAATAACTGTGGTATAGAATCTACTAAAAGGCAAATTGAAAAAAGGAAACCCATGCAGTAGTTTATGCTGAAATAAAAGTAAACGTTTATAATTCTTGTGATTTCTAGAACATGCAAAGTATTCATAACCATTCCTAAACAATCTCAAGAAATTATGATGATGTTTTGATTCGAATGATTGAGGACCGACAGACAGAAAAGTCGGTGTCCTTCGCCCTTAAGTTTAGTGTTTGCAAACTACAATCTCTTCTGTGGCCCAATCACGTGAATGAGCTACATGAAGGTATGCAGAGGCCTCGTGCTTGATCAAGGTAAACGAAACTATCTTCCCAAATGGATTCTCAAAATTGGTTTCGCAATCAAAGATCCATTTACATAGATTATTCGGTTCAAAACAGCACTTGCTTGAAGGTCGTGTTGTGTTCAAGGGATCCTACGTTGTTTGGGTGTCTAACATTTAGGGTTGTAATTGTAATAGCTGTTTAAATGAATGAACTATAGGCTTTAAAATGTATGCTTGTTTATTGTTTAATAAAGTCATAGCCGTGTTAAGAATGTTGTTTAAACAATACTGACTAGTGTTTTCCGAGTAACAATGTTTATAATGAAGTTATGGCACGATACCTACATAACTTGCCTTTGTGTCAAAATTAACTCGTATGTGTTTGAATTGGGAATTTGGAAAGGAAAGTGTTGTCATAGTTGTCCCCTAGGCTTATTTAGTTTTTGATCAAATTATAAACGTTTCAGTCATCATTATTTGTGCTTCTTCTGCCGCGCACCTCCCAAGTGATCACTAATTAACTTAATCCGATTTTAAGCATAAGAATTTATTTTACTTTGAGCATGTCAATGCATTTTGAATCGTCATATATACCGTAATGGTAGTATATAGTGTTATCGTTTGGTTTTGTTCTATGTGGCATTTATACATAGGTTGAGGTTTTATATAATAATGGCATTATGTGTTGCCGGTGTTCGATTTGTAGCATATTAATATTCGTGATTGGTCTATTGGTAGGCTTTTACGTTCACAGTAAACCGTCCAGTCTTGGTCATAATTTAAAGATCAAGATTCGGCTTTGTCCAGGGCTAGAATGTGTATAGTTTTGGTTTTATTTGCAGAACTTTATGATTCCTAGTCTTGTATATACATTTAAGTCTAAGTGCCACTAGAAGTATGACGTCACTCACCTCGTCCAGCACCGGTCTGTGAAGATCCCTCAGCAGCCCCGTGCTAGTCACGACGATGGCCAATGTAGTGGTGGCTAGTGACACCAAACACAGTGCCAAGTACACAGTCACCCCGGTGCTACTGAGGGACTCGCCGGGGTTATAGTAGCCCCGTAGCCCTGCCATGAGCCCCGCTAGCCCTGTAGTTGCCGCAGCCCCACCGCCCCACAGTCCCGCGCCCCACTGTCCCATGGACGCCTTGTGCACCAACGTCAGCACTCCGAGCACCAACATCAACACTCCGCATACCATCTGTAGTCCGCCGTACTGCAGCACTCGCACTGTGTCCGTGTCTCTTCGCGGGGTTTCTTCACTGCTGGACTGTAAAGTTCCTACTTTGGTGGGAGTGGATGACTCCGGAGGACTCTTGGCTACCAGGTCTCCCGCGGGTTTGTCCGGGAGAGGAGGTAACGGCGGGGGAGGCACCGGACTTGTCAGCTGTTTAGGCTTTTTCGTCACTGAACCGCTCTTCTCCATTTTGTCACTTTTCACTTTGCACTTTGGTCACTATTTCACTTACATCGTTTGTTGGCTTGGCTGGTAGATATGTCTGTAACAGAAATATAAATTAAATAATTAAAACAGTATTATCATGGACAGAGTTGATCTTGGAAGTGTTACGTATCAACTCTGTTATTAATGGTTTACAGTTAGGTAAACTCCGAGCTGTACAACTACAATTACTTTCATTATAATTACTTTCATCATAATTACTTTCACTAAAATATGTATAAGTCGTCCCCAAATTAACTGTATACATTTTTTTAATGAGCCAACACTTGGCAACACCCATTAATTGTTTCGGCAGAGAACGAGATTTACTACCCTAACCAAGCTTAACTTTATTTTATCACAATTCAAACGTTTAAAAACATGATCGATTTATAGATAGCTTATAATGTAGTAATCGCACTGTGATACAAAACTATCTATACAACAAAATTCCTGAATCCCTCTATTAAACGATGAATGCTATAAACGTTTAATAACTAGCTAAACCTAATAAATGTTCATTAAATTAAACGAACCAATGATTTTGAAAGCTTTGTTTGGGTAAACACAGCTCTTGCGCGATGCAAGCCCAAACCAAACCGACAGTATAGAATTAACACATTAACACTATTATCACACTTAAACCGCAATAAAAGTGTCAAATTGAGACATTTAAGTTGATACCAATTGCCACGTTAGTTTTAAGCCACTTAATCCTCCGACTGGCATATCACCAGCTGGGAACGTCGCACCGCGCCGCGCCGTGCTGCGCCGTTCTCACGACCTACTTGCGCAATGAGTGCTCATCTTCGTGCGCCGTGCTCTATGCGCCTCTCCGCCTCTCATGTTTCGCGAATTATTCGCGAGTGCTCTGTGTGTTTTGCACTCTACGCGCCGCTCTCGACATGCTCTATGCAATATCTGCGAGTATCTTGTTTTTCCGTGCTAATAAGCTCACCTGATTTGTGGAAAGTTTGTGTATATACCCACGATCTATAGAGTATAGAGTAAACAATAAGTCTTGACGTCTCGTATTATTGCGCGAAATTGTCTGCTGAGGATACAGACAGACGGAAATATCATGCAAGCTCCATGGTGTGAATTATATTTTTTTACTCGGGTTAAACATATTTTATCTTAAGGGTCAAATTTAGAAACCCAGTGAACTTGTTCTCGAACAGTTAAATAGGAAATAGTTTAAACGCTCCTATACATATTTTCCACTGTTAGTGTGTGGACAATACTTTGGTGCTGTCATAAAAGATCCAGGAGGTACTCACGCGTCTATTCGTGTTTACTTGTAATAAGTATTCCACAAAACAGCAAATTTCTGTATGCTCACAAGAGTTATTGAACGCGAAAAACGATTCTATTACAGTCAAGAGTTAATCTCCATTTAAATACGGTTTACGTGTGTATTTAGCGAGTGCTCCGTTAAGAAAATCTGTTATAACTTACTTGGTTGAAAACTAAAAAATCTGTTATACCTTGGTTGGAAAACAGTAAATTAGTTTAGCTGAATTGTTTTACTGTTAAGTTGTTATTAGTCGTATTAGTTGTTGTAATTTGTTATTGTTGGCTAGACATGTAGGTTGTGCATGCCATGTGTTATCTGTATATATAAATAAAAAAACTGAAATAAAATATTGCATAGACGAAGGAAGCTAAATACTCTGATTAAGTAATTACTAAGTTTTTAATTCATTTATTGAAAAGATTATTCTTTATTTTTACCAGCAAAATCCCTTCGCAAATATAAAGTTTGACCTTTGGAAAAACAATCAATGTATATTTAATTTTAGAAATGACCAGTGGCTTTAACGCTAAGCATTTTCCAGGTATACAACTGTATTTTTCGTGATCACAGTTGGCCTTATCTTGGGAGTGTCAACTGAATTGAAATTTCCCTCCAATTCAACCGAAGTCGATTTGAAATGGCTGTAGGTTTATAAGCAACAATAAATGTTAAATTCGGAAATCATTTGGCACAATACAAGGACGAAGCAGTTGCTTCATTTCAGAGACTGGGTAGCAAAATAAAGCAAAAGCTTTCATAACGTTTCCAGGATTTAAAATCTAGTCTTGTTTACTTAACACTTTCCCACGAATGTCAACTATTCATCGTAAATAATATTTTCATTCGATGATTAACGTTAAGTTAGTAACTTTAAGGAGTAAATATTTAGATGATAGTTTCTAACTTATAAATAAGCCAGTTGCATAGAAAGCGTGGGTGTAGTGGTGTATATGCCCGACGGGTCTGTAGTTGTAATTTTTACCCGACCTCTCTTACCGCGGGAAAGTACAATTTGTGCTCACAGCCGAGGAAGGCAAATTACAGAAAAGAACAATAATTTTGCACTGTTTATTACTGTAGAGGTGTGGTGGTGTATTGTTAGACCAGAATAAAAGAAACTCTACCAATACTATGTCGATGGGTTGTGCAATGCTACTTTTGCAAACATAGCTAATTGAATTAAACATGGGCAATGGGCATGTAATGTTTTACTATGCTTTATCTAGATTTCAAATTCAACTAACCACGTGTTAATGAAGTAGTTAAATAAGAACAACAAAAAACAATCCAAATGAGTTATTTTCATGTGTGATGAATCCTACTAAAGGAGTACGATTACAACACTAATATAATCTCAACACTTTACATTTAATACTACGAATGAACATGAGGCTGTCAACGAAATAATAAATTTCCAATGGTTGTACTGTATACTGAAAGTTAGTTTCGAATTAGGTTTGTTGCTTTCAACGTAGGTAGGAGACAACATGTGATCACTTTTAAATACTGAAAAATCTTGGTTAGTTTGGACTATTTTCATTCTTTTACTGAATATAGCCAAACTATTCGTACTTGGTACAAAATAAAACCTATCCATATTGCCTTAGGGCTTCGCCCTGGTGGCTTACAGAGTTTCCACTTCTATATAACATTGCTATTTAACTTTCACATATTTCAACCTAGTAAATGGACTACAGTTATGTTTATTTATATTTTATCAATTTATGTCTTTCTACAAGTTTTAAATTTTACCATCAATAAGCTAGAGTACCATGCTGTATTTTGAGTTACACTTGAAATGAAAAAAATATTTGTTAAATAATTTGAAAACAATTTTCCAGAATGAGTACAGAGACGAGCACGGAAGAAAAACTCAAGTTGGCGTGCTACTTTGAGGTATCTAAAATCTCCAAGTTCGTCTGCGAGAACAACACGCTGCTGGGTGAACTGGAGATGGACAAAAATGCCAAACAGCTGATCGCAGAACTTGTCTGGAAGAAGCTACAAGTGTACGCGGAGGATTTGGAGGCGTTTGCCAAACACGCCAAGAGATCCAGCATCAACACTGAGGATGTCAAACTATTGGTGAGAAGAAACCCTTCACTGGTGGAACATGTGACGAAGATGGCTGAAGATCTGGTGTCTTCTAAGGAGACAAAGAAGAAGAAAAAGAAGATTGAGGCGAAGGAAGTGAAGGAGGTTGATCTTGAGTGATGGAGTGTTCTGCTGAAGACACAAAGACGGCTGAAGATTTGGTGTCTTCTCAGACAAAAAAAAAAGAATAAGACAAAGGAGTTGGATTGAGTAAAGAAGTGTTCTGATGAAGAGTATTTGATCGTCAAAACAGTTCAAGATGAAAAAGGCCTGAAAGAGAATATAACATATTTATTTGAATACGTGTTAAGCCAATAAGTGCCTAAAACTTCGCTAGACAAGTTTTAATCTAGGAATGTCTAAGATAGGGTGTGGACAAGTTCTTTTAGGTGAATTGAATTTGGGAAGAACCCTGTTTGCATTATTTGTTCAGTACAGAAGTTTCAAGTTATTGATGTTACTTTGTATATAAATGTAAAATAATTGTTATTTATGATTCGGAAAATATATGTTCTGTCATATTACAGGAACTGCAGGAAGGACAGATTTGTAACATACATTCTAAAAATAGTAAAAAATATATATTACGAGATTTATTTACGATCTTTATAAAATCAGTGTCAATTTTGGATACATTACAGTAATTACCGTAGATGGTAGAAACTATTCAACTTATAGGACTTTTGCTGACGTTTTGCCCTATAAGGTATTTCAAAATAAAGTGCAATGTCAAAAAACCCGTAGAGTATTGAGGATTAATTAATAGCTGGCAACACTAACTTTTCAACTCATAAATCTGCATAGCAAAGCAGGGAACGTTCATTGTGAAGGTACACATAGTTAATTAATTATATTGATCAAGAAAGCAATTCATGGGAAACGTCTGTAAATAGTTGAGTGCAACAGTTGTCTTCAATCACAAACATTCTATAAGTTATTTTATCTAGGTTCATTGTAATATTAATCTATTTTTAATTAAATATATTTTTGTTCAGTAACTGCATATAGTTATTTAGAGGTTACCATCGTCGTAGGTTATCATTTACATTACTTAAATCGTCATAACATTAATTTACGTTTGACGTTGTTTGACAATTAATTGTTTGACGTTTGAAACATAGTTGATCTGAAGTTGTAAAATTAAGGACTGATTAAAAATATATTTTTTATTAGCTAAACAAATATCTTTTAAAATGTGCAATAAATATAGCTATAAATTCAAGAAAAAATATTAAAGTAAAACTGTTTTTCATTCAAAATATTTACGCGAATTAACTTACCTGAGAGAATCCTCCACAGCACGTGTTTACTCTACGACACACAACACAACACTGACTGAAACTGAGAATAGAAGCGCCAGCGCCCCCCTCTCGATCGGTCCCCTTTACCCCTCCCCCCAATGGGAGAAGATGTGGAAGGAATTTGAGTTGGAGGTGTTTATGTTTATGTGCACTTTGTTTTATGACACGTTGATTTGTTGTGTTGTTAGTCTTTTGTCAACCCGTTCGTTAAAGTCTTTTAGGTGCTACAAGAGCTGACGCAACACATGAGGCGTTCAAAACCCATTTGAGGTTTTTTTATTACAGAGTTTTCCATTGCGATTCGGATTTTAGTGTTTGTTAGGTGTTCTTTTTTTTAAATAATCTACATGATCTACCCAAATTAATTATACGCTAATATACTTCTTTTTTTCTAATTGTTATACTTTCACGTGGGAAAATCAATAAAGCCACTTTAAAATGTAATTTATAATTAAAATATTCTTATGAAAATACCTCGATTCCTGGACCTGTACACTTAATACGCTTTTAATAGCATTACGAATCCCCGTTGAGGGGAGTGATAGGGGAGTGATTGTTATCTTATTCTGCGAAAATTTTTAACTTTATACTAGCTTGATCATAAAACATTTAATGCACTTGTTGTCATCCCTCTCCCATTCCAACTGACTCAACCTTAAAGTCGTCAAACATAATTGGTATTGTTCAATTAATGCATATCATAGAAAACATACTTAATTTATTTTTTTATAATAATTGTATCGTCTTATTAACTAAATAGTCTGACTAGCAGACCATGAAATAGCTCATTCACACCATATAATATATTTGTCATTGAAAGCACTTTCAACACCGCCAGGCTTTCAGCTCATAACTTACCAAATTATCAACTTGAAATTTTTTACTGTATTATTTATTTAAAATTATCTTATGAACAACTCGTCCGTTGATTTTCGTAAACCTTTTACTGGCAAAATGGCCAGGTGAAGAGGACTTAGTATTTTTCCAAACAAAATTGTGTGCTCCCCTCTTTCTGACAGAATTACTACAAAGTGTATTCAATCACACCTTACAGCCATTCATGTTCAGCCAAGTAATTGTTGATTTTATATTACTAGCAATCATATAATCCATAATGAGGAATAGTACTTTAGTATTCTCCGAGTACCAAGCAATCGCCTTATTTAGCTGACAACCCATTTGTTCTCTAAACTTCAGTTTTAGCTCTTATGTTATGATTTCAAGTTCACAATAGCTGGGCAACTCATTCATGTATACTTTTGTATATCTGTGAATAAAGTATCTTGGAATTGAATTGAGTTGAATTGAACTAAGTAGTGACAACGGCCGCCAAGTACCTTCGACTCTGAGACGATGTCAGTAGCTTTTAGATGGATTAAAACGACCCAGCTGGCATTGATCATTTGGCTTTTAATGAGTATTTCGACAACAAAAACAACTGCTCTTAGCCAATAAAAAAAAAAAACGAAAAGCATCTCACTCTACGACTCATATTCAGGTTTCAATTATGACTATGTACTATGTAGAAGTGTACCTAAGGACGGCTTTCTAGTAGCATTATTTCTGATGTATTAATTTGAACATTGGCTAAAACAGTTTTATGTTAAACTACATATCCATCGTAAAAACTGTTAAAAATTTGTTCAAAATGCGGTAGTTCCAGACACACTAAACCCCTTAGCGTATTAACAGTCATATTCAATGCAAGGACATTCGTAATGTCATTTTGGTTAGAAATATTCAACCCGTTTGCTAAAATATGATATTCGCAAGAAAACACCCCCAGGACCAAACATCTGCAGGATTATCATACATCCTTCCTCCGCTGCAGTTCGTGACGAGCATCCTCCTCATCCTCTCCTTGGCATTTCACTTTCACATCCTCAGTCCTCACTGCCTGGAGGTCAAACATGAAGCTGTGGCAGTTGGTCTCACAACTTATCGGGACTGAAATGTGTTTTGGCTTCATGCAACTGGAGGGATTTATAAAACAAGGAAAATACAATTCCAGAATCTCACGCGGGATCTGTAATGAGTAGGCTACCAAATGCTCTTATGAAAGTGGACAGGAAAAATGATCACGTGAGGATGAAATGAAATGAAAATCCTTCTTTATTGATGCTATTGTTTGAGTATTCTTTATTGAGGATGTTATTTTGAAACTTTTAATGATTGCGTTTTGTCGGTAAACATTTATTTGAGGGTAAAATGTAAAGAAGATAAACAGGCCATAACAAATGCATAACGGGATATGTATGTACGCTATTAACTACGGCTACCCGAGTAATGTGGCAAGTGAGAATTTAATACATGTTGTATTGAACTAATGTTTCACGAATATCATTCCTATAACTGTTATTTAGAATAATATAAACAATTACACTGAACAACATGATATCGTCCACGGCTGATATCCTCCTGTTAAAGACAACTCTGCAAATAATGTATTATTGTTTGATGTAACCTTTATTCATACAGTTTCACAAAAATTAAAATATGTACGCTAAGGTTCACGACCAGTAAGATACCATCAGCTTAGCAAGTACTTGAGTAAGTTTTGGTTTGGTAAAACTTTAAAAGGCAACCATGCAATAAGGACCATAAACATGCAATATATTAGTTTATTAACCATTAGGATAACATTGGTGACAACCTTCGGCTTCTAGCCCTTAAAATAATTTGTCGTAGGCAACCAGTAGGCTATGAATAATAATGTAGGCAGATAATAATGACTTAATTGTGTTTATAAGGAAAACTGAAAGGGAAAATAGTCATGACTATGTTGAGTAAAAATTCCCCAAAAATGTTTTGTTTTGACCCCCTCCCCACCTATAACCTATATATATATACATAACATATCTGCATGTACAACTAACTATTTAAACAAATGGTGATTTTGTTTTCTTAGAGTACAAGTTAGTGGTCTTTGAGATAGGCTGCGAATAGAAATCCTGTAGAGTAATTAGCTATCTAATCTAAAAAAATATGAAAGAAAAGTTAAAATGTCCTGTTGAAGAGGCGCGAGATTTACAACACTAGCTTTTCTACTAGATGGCTAGAGTGAGTAACGTCATCATCTTCAGAGGGTGTTGTTGGAAGCTATATCAGTTAAGATGCCATCTAAATTACTCATTATATGACATCTTCTTTCTAGTTCGTCCAGACGCGATGTGTTTTAAACAGGAGTGTTTCATGTTATGGACATCTAGATACAAGATTGACCGTCACAACAATGTAATCGACCAGATATTTATTCTAACTTGTTTATCAACCTTAGATTTCACGCTATGGGATTCAGGCTATTCACTTTTTAGATATTCTAACCAACTGAAACAACTTTTAATTATGTTGTCACTACATTATATATTTATAATATGTACTGAAGGTAAAGTAGTGTTTATGTTCAACGATTTTGTATCCACTATTTCAAATATTGAAAATAAATATACGTGTTCTTAAGTCACAATTAAAATGCTATTCACATTAGAAAACTTACACCTTCACACATAACACTTGTTCTTAGTGTTCGTAGGCAGTGAGCGAAATCACTCAAAACGTTTGATGTTATAATAAAAAAGAAAAGAAACGGTATACCAAGCTATATATGGGTTTTTTTTATTATTAGTAGTAGTAAATTATTTGTTCATTTTATATTCCTTAATACTTTTAACATTTTATACAGAATAAACTTTTACATCAACCAATAATTAACATCTTGTAATTAATACAATCTGAAAACCCCTTACAAATACGACAGCTTCGTCTATCTCCAACAACTGGCAATACTGGAAACCTGGGACCCGTTTCATAACACTATACTAATATTATTAGTAAAAAATACTTTTAAACTTATGAAAAATTATACCAGTATTTTGTAATTTACAACTTGTAACTTGTAAATTAGTATTTCCTGTTATGAAACAGGCCTCTGTTGTACATTTGAGTAACTCGAGTGTTCATCGATTCTACCACTGTCTTCCTCAATTCCTTGTTTCCAACTGCAGCTATGGAAGGAAACAATTACGTCTTAACCAGTTAGGCTTTCTCTTAACTAGTTACATCAGCTGATAAGCCAGGTATGACGTCATGTTGTAAGTTGATCAACAATTAATCTTCTTGAGTATTGATGGTGATAGATGGATGCCAGATTTCTTAGTTATTAATCAAAGCACGACTATTTTCTTAAAATTTACCAAATTAATTTTAACGTAATGTTTTATTTAATACATGAAATCGTTCCAATACCAATTGGATTCTGTGAATAAAGGATTATTTGACCATTATTGTACTGACATGATTAATTTAGTAATACTAACCACTAACCTAGCAGTGTTATCAATAAAAAAATTATTTATGCCAACAATACTAGTAGAGTGTTTGTGTGTTCTATCTTTGACTATTAATACAATAGTCAATGGTTATATATAGATACAAAATGAATCAAGTCTGTTAACAAGAAAACCAGAAATAGTTATTTGTGTAACTAATGGGCGAAGTGTGCAGCAAAGGCAGTTTGCACTCGTGTTACACATTATATTCTTCTTATAGTTACTATAAATCATATAAATAATTAGTCTTTCACTCACTGTACAACACGTTTTTAGGTTAAATCAAAACATTGAACGGAATGGGAAACGCTACACCAGCTGATCGTAGTCGTAATATCTTTCAGTGTTGCCAACTAATTTTCAATCGTACACGGATTACGTGCATAATACAAGCACGCGGTTTTGTGTTGTTTTGTTGGAATACTGGTGTGCGCCTGTACAAAAGCCCACAACAGAAACAGCAGTTGGGTTTCTGTGCAAGGAAGCCCACTTTTAAACCGACTACTTGATTCCCGTACGTAGGACGGGCCAACAGCTAGTATTAGTTAAATTTTATACAGGCTAATAGAAAAGATTAACTAATAGAACTGAACAATATAGTACTATAAACTTGAATTGTGTAGAACTGTTTGACAGAATATAGGCCTAGTTTGAGCCTTTGCTCAGGAAACGTTATATAATCAGCAGAA